TAGAAAAAGAGCCGTGTGCACAGGCAGCAGCAGCCTAGGACTCGGCGCCTGAACCTGTCAATGAAGAAGTCGCGTGACATATCAAAAGGCCACCTGAGCTTTGCCGAAGCTTCTGTCCTCGGTGCTCGCGCTTCTGCTGATACCCCGCTTGCCCGAGTGCAGGCCGGCTTTGCTGAAACTCCCGCCTGCAAATGTTTGTGTGTTTTTGGTGCCTTTGCAGGCCACTGGTCTCATCCAGAAGGCACAGAAACAGCCCGACGTCACTGTTGAACACCGGTTCCAGACTTATGCAAGATTGGAACCTCGGGCATGTGCACCTGCTTCTTCGCAGTGGTACGCATTCTGAAGTCCCAGCCCAAGTTCTTAGGTCGTGGTTCTCCAGGCTTGGCAATTCAATTTGGAGTGTTGTCGCCGGCCTCTGCTTGATTCTGCTTTCATTAGTGCCTGGCTGCAGTGATTACATCTGCATCCATACTTCATCGGGATCAATGTATATGAGCGCCTTCCTGCAAGATGCTTGAACCTCAGGTTCTGATGTGGATGAATGAACAGAGAAATGCCGAGCAGGAGATGCGGCACGCCCTAGCCTGACTAAAATCTCCAGCCCTGAGTCGGGAGCTTGAGGAGAGCATTCTTCGGCTGGGAATGTCGGGGGCAGCTCAGAAGCATCGATCTGGTACATAAAATGAAGTTGCTACGTCTCTCATCTGGCCGCATCTGGCCTTCAGACAGTGACCACTTCAGGATGTTGGCGGGTCCAGGGCTATCAATCCGGTACCGCCTCTTATTGAAGAGGATAAATCAGGACCTCGATCTTCCAGGTCCTTGTCACAATCACAGGCATCCTCATGCTCCTCCTCCTCATCATCATCGTCATCATCACAGTCACCATCACCATCACAATCATCATCACCATCATCGTCATAATCGTCATCATCACCGTCATCATCAGCAGCTTAGCCCTGACCAGCATGGGTAACATCATGTAACATTAGACAGCATCGTAAACGTCATTGCAATCACAGCCGCTTGGTTTTCCTCGGGTCCAACGTGTTTGCTCGACAAGGTGCAGACCATTATATCCAAGCTGCTTGGTGCTTGCATTTGTTGGTTTTCTTGAGGAATTACAGTTGCTGGGGCAACAGCTGCAATCGCAGTCCATCCGACAGTGCTGCATCTTTTCATTCCATGGCGATTACTCGCAAGGTGGGTCGACGAAAATCTGCACGGAACGTTTCTCGGTTCCATCTTCTGGCAACAGCTCTGTTCTGGTCTTCCATCTTTTGGAAAACTCGCCCGTGCTCTCGGAGTAACAGGACGAACAAGATGTGCCGAACCTCTGAGACTCAAACTTTATCTGAACTGCTGCAGGTGGAGCGTGAACTGACCTTGAATCGGATAATCCAGACCCCAGAAGCCATGGCACAACAGTTGCAGTCTAAGCACTTTTATCATTGAAGGTGCTACTAAGAGTAGCACCCCAAGCAGCAGAAGCGATGCAGGTTGGTTCACATGAACGACGCCGATGCTCAGGGTATGGATGAGATGCAGGAGACTCCGATAGATGTTGCCCAGTTAGCTGGAAAGCAGCTTCCGAAGCCGTTGGAATTCACTCAAAGCTTTCGGATTTGGGGCTACCTGTTCTTGCAGCATATGATCAGGTAGGATGATCAATAACATCTACGAGTGAGGACAAATCAGGGTGAGTGACTATAATTCCATAATGCACTACACAGGGTTAAATGAGAGCATCATGTGAAAAATTGAGAGGATCAGCTGGAACTTGCATGAAACGACATGAAACCGGATCTGAAGACGGTAGGCGCAATCACCTCACAACACTACTTATGCAGAAATTCAAAGTCAAGCATCATACCAGGTCACAGGTGATGCAGTTTGTAGCAATTTCTCAGAAATCAAGTCTATGGCAGTATCTTGTAAGCATTTCGGTGCTTGGTGACCACAACCGCTGCAGCTGCAACTACAACTGCAAGTGCAACTGCAGCTTCAATTGCAACAACAACAACAGCAGCAACAATGCCGTAACGACTGCTGCTGCTTGCTGCTACTGCTACTGCCGCTGCCACTGCTTCTGCCACTGCCACTGTTACTGCTACTGCCTACTGCTTGCGGCTCCTTCTACTGCATTATCGCTACTACTGCTGCTACGACTATTACCACTGGCACTCCGACGACGACGACTACTGCTACTACTACTACTACTACTACTACTACTACTACCACCACCATCGACTCCCACTGCGACCAGCATTGCCCTTCCCAACATAATGTCGGCAAGCGGTTCTAATAGCACAGGATCACCGCTTCCCCGCACTTCGGATGGAAAGTGGCTGCCTGAGGTGCCTGGGGGTGTTGCCTGGGTTTCTTTAAGGTCAGAGCGAAATGAAACAGGGGTCATGCTTGGTTGCAAACATGGGGCTTAGTCCTCGCCCCCACGCCAGGATGAGGAGCCGAGTCCAGGTATACCAGTGGAAGGAGACCGAGACCACAAGTAAGCCTGCTGGTGGTGGCGAGATTTCGACGACCTGGTATAACTACAGACAAATCTGGTCTGATACCCAGATAGACTCGACCTCGTTCCGCGAGAAGTCGCATAGCAACTCCATTTCCGTCGCCGGACTTACTTGTGGCACGGACAGCCGAACCAACACCACGGTCGGCCAGGCAAAAGATACCATCGGTTGCCATGAATCGGGAGATGATGGGCCCACACCTCGATTTCGGATTCTGTCGTTACTTTAAGCAAACTCTCAAAGGGTTCCTGTCTTTCAGCAGTTTCCAGACATGCACGTCTTTCAGATACAATTTTTACCAGAGTCCACTGTAATTTGCGTTTAGTCGCTAGGCACAGGGCTGGGGATGTTGTGCTCGTCATCACTTTCAACAGCCTTTTCCTGGACTGCAAAGCATTTGGCACTGGCTGGGATCTCCAGCAAGCAGGTTTTCTGGAAGGTGTGTGGGGTGTAAGCCTGAAAAGATGAGGTGAAGCGTGTCGTTGCAATTGGAGGCTTCTGCTTGTCCTTGTTGTGCGGCGAGCGTGGTGTTGACCCAGGATGGCTATTACTTGCCGAAGGATATGGTCGAGCAGCTGGACAACTGGAAAAATGCCAATAGCCAGGTACAGACTTTGGAGTACAACGGCAACCGATTCGGCAATCCATCGGAAGGGTGGCGTCCCGGTTGCTAACGAGAGCTGAGCTGGGCACCTTCAGAGGATGCAACCATCTTGTGCTTCCTCATGGTTCTGCAGTCTGCACGAAGTCATTGATAGACACTTCCTATTTCTTGGCATTCCCGTATTCTCCGAGGTCGTATTATCCCGAAAGTGCGGCCCAGTCTCCGACCGTTGGTAGTGCCGCTGGGGAAGCATCGGCTCAAGCAACACTGAAATTCCCCAAAACCTGGCCGACCCGTAAACCTAAACTCAAAGCCTGAAATCGGAAGCCTGTCACTCCAGTGGCCGAACATTAATCCTAAACCCTTGCCCCCCAAAGCCCTTTGCAAAGCTGACGTCGATCTGAGGTGCGTGTGTGTTTGGAATACGTGACAGATGGACCAGTTTCGATTGTGGCACTGCAAACGCAAGACGACAGGCATCCACGTGCAGTGCCTGGCCGATTTATATGTCATAGTCTTGCTCAGCTGTAGTACATACTGCCTTGATGCTCCAACAAGCTTCTGCGGGATGCCACTCACTGCACTGCATTGGCCTGCTCTGGACATCTCACGTTTTCTGGCTCATCCGAGACTATGTAGATTCATCGGGTTTATTCAACACCGTTCCTACCAGGCTAGAGACAAGTCAACACTCAGCTACGCTACACATCCTGTCACCAATTATGCCAGGCTCTAGTGGAACACCACGGAAACAGCCTTACCAGTACTTCTTTCTTTCAAGAAGCCGTAAAACCATGCGTCGCGGTGCTGTGCTGGTTCAGAGGTTTAGCCTGTCTCAACGGTTGCTACTGCCATCGCATTCTATCCCGGTCCGATTTCAACCCTGCGGTGGCGAATATTCCTAGAATCTGTTGCCTTCAGGGGCCTCGCTGTTTGTCTCTTAGACCCTGAACCCTGAGCCCTAAGCCCTAAGCCCCAGTTCTAGACCCAAACCCCAAAGCCGGCGTTCCTGGCGGTCCTGTCGAGGAACCCCCTCCAACTGAGGCCTCTTTCTTGCCATACCGACTGGTCTCCCGAGGCTGTGGTCTTCATACAAGCACATAATGTCAGTAACAAGAACAAGAATAAGAATAGCAGCAATACCGACAATACAGAAATCGAAGTCCTCATAGCAGTAATTGTAGGTAAGGATAAAAAAGAAAATACTAGCATTCAGAGTTTGGGAGATCTTTCGATTTGTTAGCCACGGGTGCTTCTGCGTGACTTCCCAAGTGGAGAATCCGAATCATGTGTGGAGCCCAGGAGTTTCATTTTCTCATAGCGGGTCGGGAGCGCTGCTTCGAAGCCCAACCTTTGAAATTGCAACAGTGGCCCTGAAGCACACGATCTTTTGCTTGGGGCTACAGTTGCTGAGACTGGGAGATCAAAAGAGCTGAAACCCTGAACCCTGGAGCTCTAAGCCCTCTAATACCATATAACGAGAGAATATATATATATATATATATATATATATTTTTACACACACACATACCAAAATCTATGTATATAAATAAATACTATACTATATAATCTAGTCTTAATATACCCTGATATCACATCATATCACCAAGAGCCAGCAGTTTTGCCAGGGCTCTGCTGTGGCCCCCGCGACGAAGCGCTGCAGGATGCCCTTCTTACCCAGGGCCGCAAGAGCTCCTCAGAGCTCAAGAAGGAGGATCTGGAAAGTGCCGGTTTAGGTAGTATTATTAGAGGTACCCCTTAAAGGGTACCCCTTCTGAACCCTACTTTTGGCTCTCTTAAAAGGGACCTTATTGAGAGGGTCTATATCCCCAAGGGTCCCCCTAATCCTAGCTCCCACGGTTAAGTCCAGGGTTTCAGGTGTCGAAAAGAGTTTCCAAATTGCTCATGATTTTCGCGTCTGTGTTGGAATAGGAGAATTGCACGTGAACAACGTCCCAGACCCGCTTCAAATCATCTTTGATCAGCAGCGGATGGAAGCAGCGGTTCTTGCCCTGCAGGAAGAATGGACTCTTGGCCCCTTTGCTTTGCCTGCGTGGCTGTGTTGCTGCTGCGGCTGCTTCGGCGGCTGCTGCGGGCTCTTTGGGTGCCTCTGCTGTTGCGGCGGGCTCGGATGCACATTGAAAGCGGCGCAGTCCAGTCCTGCAGTAGCACAAGCAAGGATCGCAGAAGGCCATATTTAACTCCCGTCTATTTCCTCTTTGTGAATTGTGTTGCAGTGTTCGCCACTGGCACATTCATCAGGCAAGCGCCGACTTAAGGCATTTTTTCCCGCTTACCGCTGCAGTGATTTCCGGTTTTTTTGTATGATTGTTGATGCTTGTCATCTTTGCGACTTCAAAACCCTAGAACCCTGAGCCCCAAACCCTAAACCCCCCAAACCGAAACCGTTGCTCTTCTCCTCTGAGGCTGTAACCTCATTGCGAAAAGGTTCGCTGCTCTTGCGCCCCCGCAGATCTTCGAACCTCGGCGCGTTCTGTTGGGCCCTGGGGCCCTGCTCAGGTAAGAAGCGTACTACTCCAACTTCGGGCTCTGCAACATAAGTACAGCGTCGAACCCCGCCGCATAGCCCATTCTACTTAGCCACAAAGCTTCATGGAGACTTGAATCCCAAGCGTGTGCTCGCTCGTCCCCAAAGGCCGAAAGTCCAAAAGCCCTAAATCCTTGAAAGCCCCGTCGAAGCCCACAGCCCCAAAGCCCTAATTATAGCCCTGGACTTTTGCAAGCCTAAACCCTGAAGCCCTACGGCCCCGAAACGCGAAGGCCTCTAGCGACAAACACCAAACCCTAAACCCTCAGCACCACAACGTTTAGCCTCGCGCCTGAAGGCCGCTTACCCTGGGCACAGCACTGTGGCGGAGGTCTTCGACAAGCTCGCCACGTCCCCGAGCCGAAGTCTGTTGGGGATTTCGGAATCTGCCTTGTGCCTTTGAAAATTTGGGTTTCGGGTCTTCGGGTTTTGGGTCCAGGGTTTGGGATTCTGGGGCTTAGGTTGGTTCAGAGGTTCGGGTCCTCTGGAACTCTAGTCTCCACTTGAACACTAAGCCCCAAACCGCGAAGCTGAATTGATTGTATGATCTGACCTGATATGATATTATATTCTACTCCATACCACTAAGTTCAAGAATGTAAAATTCTGTTCGATTCTATTCCATTGTCGTATGATATTTTACCACAGTCAGGTCTGTCCGGGTTTGGAAGCTGCGGCTTCTGTCCTGGCTCCTTCTCTACGCCGGCACCTACGCCCTCTTCAAGCCTTTGCTGGCCTCTCGCCAAGAGACTATGCATCATATTATACTGCACTTCAGGTTAGGTTATACTATACTATATACTCTTTTGTATATTAGATTGTGCCTATACTAGCACATTTGGAGGCTCTTGATCTGGGCTGAGGTGGTCCTGGACATTCTTCCCTTCCTGGGCCCGTACATCAGCTCTGGGGCAGGCTGGGTGATCGGTGTAGTCGTCTTCCTAGCGACGGCCGTCCTGGCCACCTTGGTCATCTCCGTGGCCTTCCTCCGCTATCAACCGCTTGTCGGCTTGACCTGCATGGCAGGAGCCGTGACTGCAAGAACTCGCCACTCAAGCCACGACGGAATCAGCATCGCTAGGTAGTGCTAGGATATGCAGTTCAGGTGTCGGCATCGGCATCATCCTGGCCTGAAGAGGTCGTGTTTAGGATTCCGTGTTTCAGGTCCTCAGGACGGCAAGTTCACAGAAGGCTTGACCTCTTGCAAATGGGAACCAGGATGCATGGGCCGGGAAAAGGTTGTGCACGTGCTCGGCTAAAGTGTGAACATATCGTGGTGAGAGCATGTTGCACAACGGTTTCTAGCCTCTCAACATGTACCGTTGTGGACAGCTTGGAGAACGGGGAGGATGAGCATCCGAAGCCATCTTGTGGTCTCGGTTTGTAACAAAGAGCTCGGAGGTCTTGGGGAAGAAGCTGGGCAGTACTTCGCAGCGAGGGACGATGTGCCCTGCTTGTTTTAGATGTATATAAGACTAAGAGGTCTTGTGTTGGCAAGTCTGCACGTGTCCTGCGATGGTGACGACAGCAGCCTCACCACTCTTGGTGTTCTTGGTGTGGCTCGGACCAATTCCTGGTGCTCTGGCACTGAAGCCGCTGGCGCCAGTCCGGCGATGCTACGTCCCGCTTTTTCGGGAAGGCGGCTGCACCCGACTGCAAGTGTTGCTCGGAGCTGAGTTTGGACTCAATCGCTACGGACAAGAAACAACGGCGCAGCGGCTCTGTTTGAAGAAGTTGCGCGAGGCGATGCTGAATAAATTTCGAACTTCTCCGGTCCCTGTAACTTGTACATCTACTCCCTGGCTGCTCCAGCGTGATGTGGTATGGTTCACTTTCTTCTGGAGCATTGTTACCCTCAGTGTTTCAATCACCCACTTCTCAAAGGTCATACGTTGAGGATTCAGCTTACGTGCAAATACAAAGAGTTTCCTCGTGCCAGGTTGGTGGCAATACTTTCGTCTTTGCCCAAGGAATTTGTGATCTTTGGAACTGCAGTTCAGCGGATGCATTGACAGGGACCTCTGGTAACCAGCGGTCTTCTTCGGAGCAGCACAATTCCACCCCGTCTGTCTTCAGTGAGCTCTGCGAGTACCAAGAACTTAACCCCGGTCCTGGTATTCGTCGCAGCCCTGTTTTTGTGAAGCTCTGGGAGTGGAATTATGTGGATATCGGGCAGGAGTGCCAGGATTTTCTCGGGCCAAACGGCTTCGACGCTGTCCAGGTGTCGCCTGTGACCGAACACAAGCTTGGACCTCAGTGGTGGACGAAGTACCAGCCGGTCTCCTTTTCCTTGAGTTCACGATCCGGCTCCATGGAAGACTTCGCCCACATGGTCGCAGCTTGTCGAGCAAGCGGGGTACAAGTCATGGTAGATCTCATCATCAACCACATCGCGACCCCATGCAGGGATGGGCGTGGAACAAGCTCGGGGACACCATGTGTGGGCTGGAATGGGAGCTTGTATGGAAACCGGCGGTTGGCTGGTGCACGAGGTTGGGACGCTGCAGGCCCAGAGCATTTCAATCACCTGGAGGGATCCTTGATGGAAAACTGCATCGTGGGCCCTCCCAGCTGGACCTGCAAGGCGGGCAGCATCGACGTTACTGACTGCAGCTGCTGTAGTTGTGATTTCCTTAAGCTTCCAGATTGGAACACTGGCTTGCGTGCGGTGCACGACATGCACCTGAGACATGTGCAAGAACTGCACGACATTGGTGTGACCATGCTCCGGATTGACCTGTCACTCTTTGAGTCCATCGCAGACCTTAGTAATGTGCTCAGCTCAGTACCATGGGACTTTGTCTACCAAGAATGGTGGTGGGAGAAGCCAGATCCCATGCGCCACCGCTACATCGGCCATTTTCGTGACATCACCTACAGATATCTCATAACACACTACTTGGGCAACTCCACGCTGGAAAAGCTGCCCGAGGCATTGACCTTGTCCCGGGGCCATGACCAGATTCGTCCTGAGACGAGCGTCTATCCCATCGCCTTCCACGATGGCCGAACTTGGAAGGCAAATCCTGGCAATGCTACCTACAAGAGCCTCGGCGCCGGCAGCTGAAAGGCCACTGTCGGGTGTCAGTGGAGCCAGTAGTTCTGTGGAGTTTCGAAGTCAGGAATGGCCTGGAGTTCCACCAGCAGCAGAAGTTCATCCTCGCTTGGCCGCAGGGCTCCTCCATTCTGCACCTGGGCCGGATAGGAAAGGAGACCTTGAGCCCCATCTGAAGGATCTTCAGTGCCATTGAGAGTCCTGCTTCCTTCATTCCTCCGTGTTATTAAGCACCTTTCTCTCGACTGCCAGGCTCTGGGGCGGCTTTGGCTGGTCGTCCATGAGTGATGGGCCTCCGGGTTGTGCTGCTCGTCGAAGCTGTGGTAGAATCTCTATTCTGCTTGCGTCCTCTTGTGTGCACGCAGGAGAACTAGAGGTAGCCGTCCCTGCAAATGCGTCCCTTTTTCCGGCCAGTTTCGTGGGGAGCAACACTGCCAGCCCGAGCCTGTCTTCCAGGATGGACAGGTCGGGGAAACGGGGAGACTTTGGGGTCGATTTGGATGCAAGGAAGATGAGTTTCGGATAGTACGAGGGATACTGAAGGCCTACAAAAATGCGCCAGGCCCAGTGCATGACAACTCCAAGGGAGTCGCCCTTGCCAGCGGACCTGGCAATGAAACGCACCTGGGTTTGTGAGCATCGATGGGAAGGTGTGGCCGGCCTCATCGAGCCCTGATGCATCAGCATGTTCCGGTTTCGTCGACATGATGTCCTAAACCCTCTGGGCTCTACACCCTAACCCCTAAGCCCTAAAAGCCCCAAGCGGCACATCCCAACCCCTAAACCCTAAACCCTAAACCCTAGAGCCCCAAACCCTAAAGCCCCTCTGGCCCAATGTTTGGTGCACGATTTGCCCCGAGGAGTTCCGAAAAGCCTGCCGCGGCCTCGCAGTGACAAGAACCTGGAAGGCCAGAAAGGTCTAGGGCTTGGGGGTTAGGCTTGAGGATTTTAGGGTTTAGGGT